TTTGATCATGTAAGACAAATGTCCATTCTGGTGTGAGTAAATATATAGGAAATAAGTGCAGAGCCAAGCCTGAGCTGAATCACTCCCTTGACTAGGAACATCTATGGAAAAGATTTAAAAAGCTCTTGCGAATTCATATAGGCATTCACGTTTTATTTTATAGGAGGAAGAGAAGTCCTCCTAAATACTCCAACCCTGGTTCTACCTAGGAACTTAAGAGAAGCCGGAGAATTAACCTGTCTTTTAACAGCAATACTAATACAAAAATTCTTCACCAATTAGAGCCGTAACACAGATGACTCTCCAGAAAACAATGCGCATGAACTAAGACAGCAGTTATCTTGATGACACCAAAACAGCTAGAGAAGAATGGAGGGAAAAAACAAGAGAGCAGCAAAAGTAGTATCTCGGTAGTTTGATAAAAACACTGATATGGAGAAACACACAGTGAGACTGACCTGTGGCTGGTTGGGGCATGTAGCAGTTCCTTACTCAACCACTCAGCCACTCTCCTGCCTGCCTCTCCCTCCAAAGGAGCGAGCGCAGGTAACGGGCAGCAGGATCGAATCTCTCCGAGAAACGTCTCACCTTTCAGGAGTACACTGAGGAAGTTCAACTACAGTTTAAACTTGGTAATGTGTATTAATTTCCAGTGCTAATTTCCAGTAAACTAACACTTGAAACATACTAATTCCTCATGTCAGTTCTATTCCTGGTAACATTTTCTTTTTTAAAAGACATTTAGAAAAACTCCAGTAAATACCAGGTGATACCATATATTCCATAAAACTGGCAAGAGGGCTCAAATATGGTAGATCCTTTCAGCAATGTCAAATGTGAGTTATATATGCAAGTGTTAGTATTGTATGGTCGTTCTTTCAAAATAGTCCAACTCCCTACGCACCTTCACTTTGTATCAGGGAGAACTAGTGGTTACTGCTTCAGGTGCCAACTCTAGAATGAGTACACAGGTGGCAGTGTCCTTGCAATGTGTTTTGTTGGCATATTCCTCCCTGAGGTCCCACTCTCTTAACTCTGACAGGTACCATTGCTTCCTTGGCCCAGCAATGCTCTTACTTGAAAATAAGTATCAACAAACTTACAGGCAAAGTCACTACATCTGCAAGAGTCAAGATTATTTCTAGGGTACTTTGGGCCACAGAAGTCATGCAGAGGACCACTTAAGGGCGTGACATGTTACTGGCAGCTTTTGAGCTTGTGCTGGTGATGGCACTTGTATGCTCACTGAACTTCACCAAGACTATGAACAGAGGGAACAGCAATGAGCAAATTTGACAAACACTCTCTCATATGGCAGATTTCATTGCAGGATAAGCATTACATAGGTTTTTCAAGATGGCAGTCAGGTTTCAAGCTGAACTGGTCCACTTCTGAAAATGCAAAACCAATTATTCATCCATTTGGCCTTAGGTTTGTCGGAAGAAATCTGACTCATTTCCGAGTCAAGTAAGGACAGACCAGCAGGGAGAGGTCCTCGTCTAGTCAAAAACACAAAAGGAAGATGCCTGCATTTGGATTTCAGTGAAGTTGCAGCATTTTTAAACCACACTTTTCCGTGCTTATCGTACTTCCCCAGGGAAGAATAATGAGTCCGCAGGGACAAGAAATATGAACTCTGCAATGGAGTCAAACTGAAAAAAAGTCAACACACAAGAATTTCCTTCTGACAGAGCATTATTAAGCAGGCAACCATGGATATAAAGACATGCTTCCTAAATTTTAAAAAGTCAGAACTGAGAAGAAATGGTACAGAAGCTATCCTCTATTTCCTAACCTTTCACCAACACCGCACCACGAAGAGGCGAATATAGGAGTAAAACCTTCTGCCTGTTACAGTTCTTCTAGAGCATGTAACTTAGACTGATGTGGAAAACAAAGGTCATGAGAAACATATTTGGCATTCATATATGACTGCATATCCAAAATAACTCTTTTCTTGGGATGTCAGCCTAGCTTCTCCTTCCCTTACTTGTCTCAGCAGATTCAAAACACTGTCAGATGAAAAAAATGGTAACAGGATACACAGAAATAAAGAGCAACTAAGGAAATAATTAACGGCTACCCTATTTTACATGAGACAAGTCAAAGTATTACAAAATACAGTATCTTAGAAGTAACATCTCTGACTTGCAACAACTTGAGAATGATCTCAGCCACAGTGATCAGAAGTTCAGAAGTTAGCTTTGCTTATTAAAAAGCAGTTGAGCAAATCTTTAATCTCTGTTTTGCCTAAGACCTGAAGACAAGAGTGCTAATACCAATACAGCAGTAAGGTATGTACACAACGGGTAAGTTACTTCTTTCACTGCCCAGGAACTACATGACAAAGACACCATGGGACTGTTTGAGCTCTTTAGGACAGGTTGAGCCGCACTAGATCTACATGGCGATGTCAACATGATTTTAACGTACATACCCTATGCAACATTAGGTCTCCAATATTTAACTGTCTCCTGTCTTCCATGGCTCTTACCGTGGCTGGAAACCACAGTGGTGGCAAAAATGTACAGAAGAGTGTAGAGAATTGGGACAGAGTCCCGAAGTGCAGAAGGATCTCAGCAACACAACACTGGTTTGACCAGAAAGTCTTCTTTGGCATTTCTTAAATGTTTCATAGTTAACATTGTATTGAGGCACTTTGTTTCAGTGAGCGAGAAGTATTCTCCAGGTGAAATAACTTCCTTGCTTCTACTTTATTACTCTTAAACATTTATATGGAGTTATAGAAGAAGAGCAAAGATATTACCTACGCTGCATGCCATTGCAAAACTGTTTTGTGTTTGCCAGAAGCAAGCACTTAATATTCAATATGACATAACTTTTCAACACAACAAAGTGTCAATTGAGAAAAGAAGTTATTAAAATTGCATCCTTGTTCAAACTCCATGTAAACAATACTTGCTCAGCAGTGCATAATAAAATTAATAAAATTCATTTTCTCAGGGTAGAGGAATTTGTTTCTACTAATTTCACAGTTGGAGAAAATTTTGACTTGTTATTTTGTTTTGCAAATACGGCTACTCTATTTGGGATTTGGGTTTTTTTTAATGCAGTAATTTACAATGCAGTAAGATGGTAAACCTGTGCTAAAAGCCTCTTATGAAAAGCTCTGTGATCAAGGATTTGCCTATTCAATTACAACACTTTATTAGCTTCAATTGTATTCCACAGTTTGGGAAGAATTACAGGGTTGTTCTTTTTTGAAAGTAAGAAATTGTCCTCTCTAACAGCTTTTTGTTACTACTTTCTTTGAAGAACGTCCTTTATTTTTCATTTATTTTGTTTGTAAACATCTGTTTTATATGCCCTTAAAAGCAATGGACATTTTTGTTGCTCAGACAAATTATTTAATATGACAATTAATTCCTACTCCCAAACAAGTCCTGTTTCCTGAGTTAGATTTACATAAAAGTGTTGAGACATTCACTATGTGTTTAATCAGATATAGACAGTGACACAGCACACACTTGACAGAAACAGCTTCAAAGAACTTCAAATTCCTCTACATCAAATAACATCTGAGGATGAGCGACATACTCAGCCTACAGACAAACAGTAAATATACATTTTAGCTATTAAAATTTAAATTATTATCTTTCAAAAAGGCATCTTCATAACCCCATAATCAAATGGCTTCTACCAGCAGAAACATTTCTATGTCTAGAAAAGCATTCTAAAGAGTCTCAGAATTGGATATTTATGGAAATAAGATGACTCCTGGATTGTCATTTTGTTTTCACGTTAGCCATACTCCTTCTGAGGTTACAGATGCAAAGAAATTTTCTGTTGCAATGATGTAAAATTCTGCTACCAGTTGTGACAGGTAAGCCTATACTTCTACTCTGACTCAAAGAGCTGAAGAATAAAATCAAACACGTTGAAACTGATACACAATAACTGCACCGGTTTTGCCTAAGTGTGAATATATTGAAATAATTCAAGATAGCATCAGAATAGTCGTGCAATAACACAATAAAACCCGAAGCAAAATTCTGACTCAAACTTCTGAATATTAAGTGTTCAGAAACCTTCAGTTTGTTCTGATACCAAAATCTATATATCTTTAAGTACGATGACGATGATCAGATAGTCATAGCCGTATTACTTTTAATCCAGTTTTTATGATTCAGAGTAAAAAGGAACGATTGAACATGAGTGTAGTCTGTCGAGCTGAGTCTCTATTAAGTTCATAGAGCCTGTGCTGAAATTTGTTGCACAAATTTTCTTAACTATTATCATTGCAAGATGGATTAATGCTAAGGGAGTATGCCTACTCACACTACTCTTACACCATGTGGCTAAGCAAATATAGTATTTAATGCTAGTTTTTATAACATGCAACAGGACATAACAGATGCTGCAAAATTTGAAACATGCACAATGAATCCATCTTCACTAAAATGGACATAACCTGCTACTTTCCAGTCTGGCAGAATATTACAGTATCAAAAATAATTTTAAAAAGAAGGTAACAAATAAAGAATTGCCAGGTTCTCTTCAAATTCCCCAGTATATACAAAAGTTTATTGAAAGCAACATTATTCTGGAAGACAAAGGGATTTAGGTTACCAGCACCATCTCTAACCGCTAACATCATGTGACAGTGAAACAAAACTTAAGTAATCTGGGGGATTCCAGCAGTTAATAGGCCTTTTAGCTACAGTACTATCCAACAGGGTATTTTGACACTAAACCAGAAATTATATATATTGTTTCAACTTAAAATGTTGTCGACTATAGGACTGCCTTTCTACAAATTGTTTTCTCATAATAATATGATCAAACTTGTTTCTCTCAGTAAGTTTAATTGCTCTTCAGATACTTAAAATTACAAACCACCAAATTCTAGTGCAGTGTTTTAACTGCACAAAATGTACACATATTCCTATTGCAGACTGACAGAACTAGAAGCAGTCATTATAATGCAAATAAAAACATACTGTGTTTTGGGTTTTGCCTTTTTTTTTTTTTTTACTCACTTTCTTAATAAAATCAGGTATCTCCTTTTTGTCTGAAAGCTGGTTTAAAGAGGAGCAGCACTCTACCTCCAAGACATATCCTTCACTATGGACGTCACCTTTTGGAGACCTAAAGTGGCAGACAGAAAAAAAGAATCAGTTTCTGTTGTTAACACTGGATTCCCAGATACCTGCTTTACAACATTTTTCACGGAGAGCTAACGTTCAAGACAAAACTTTGGTTCCAATACATTCACTCCACTGAACTCAACACAGTTCTGACGAATGGCTGCTACAGCATCTCACCTACTTGCTAGGGAAGCAAACCACACCAACAAGCGCAGATGGCGGAATGCCTCAGGGACTTCCTAATCTCTTTATCTGTCCAAGAAACACTTTGTCAGCCTGGCATCTATGGCTAACACCAAGGAGATGCACAGGTGATGTAACTCAGAATATGCACAAAGCAGGTTCCAATGCAATGGGCTGACAGATGCTCTGGGCCTCACAGGGCAGGTTGATGTAGGGTGTGTTTCGCAGACAGTAATTAAAGGAATCCCTTCTCTTATCTACCACCATTCTCAGTCAACATCAGGGGCTAATCAAAGTAGTCTATCCTTCAGTCTTACCTTATGCTTTGCTGTTGAGAAATGTAAAGCTATGTCTGAAATCCCTTCTCTTTCAGAAGACACTAACTCCTAAAATAATTCAGAGAGTATGGCGTCTGCCATATACGTTGCTGAACAAATCAGTGCTGTGGAAACATGAGATCGGTCAAAATACGCCAAGGGAAAGTTTGGAAGTTATCTTGAATGATCTGGAGAAACAGTCCAGAGGTGTGAAAAAGCGTGAAAAGCAGTGCTACTGAAGGCAGCTTTCATCTCCTCTGGACTCCCACGCAAGGAAACTGACACAATAAAGGAAATCTAGAGAATCATTTATCAGTTCCTTAGGAGAACACATGGAGGAACATACAAAAATAAAAGCTAGCGTATAATTCTTGGGATTAGTAACAAAGTAGTTATCTTAACATCCACATGGAGAATCAAAAGATCTAGTTTAAAGTAAAGAACTTATCCTGGCCAGCAGTCGCTCAATGCACTTGGCACCTACAGGACAGGAAGAAAGGTGCAGAAGTTTGCCGAGAGTGCTAACGAAGCAGCAAAACCACAAAACAAGGGCTTTGCAGGCTTGTCATGCTTGCAAAAGCAAGTCTGTACAAAAGCCCTGTTCTATGGACTGAGACAGTGTGACACGTAAACCACGCTTCAGCTACAGATGGTTCCCAGGGGCTTTCCCGAGATGCTAACAGTTCCTCAGAGCCATGAGATGCGTAGGCTGTTGACTGCAAACTGGCAGTGTCTTTCTTAGGCTATACTGCAGAAATTTTCCGAAGTATCACATGACGTTGTATTTTGTACTTGATCCTCCCACTTTCACACATACTATACTCTTACTTCATTTCTCTTATCTCACATGTGGGACAGGCGGTACGAGACTGTGAATTGTTTGGGAACATTGAAGTCCTTTCCCTATTTGTATTTCCCCTCCTTTCTAGGTTCTCCTCATAACTTGTGGTCACATTCCGTTCTTGATTTTGGACAAAAATTTTAATAGAACATTGGTGTCCACAGAAACTCTCCAAATATCTTTTATAAATTTACAGAAATCATTATCGAGGGACTAAACGTGTTCCCCCACTACTTCTCTGTGACAGGTATACAGAAGTTAATTTAAGCAGCAAAGAACAACTTCGTCAAGAAAAAAAAGATTATTTTGTAAGGGACAACACATGAACTGCAGACAACAATTTTTGCTGTTCTAGGTAAAGTCCTAGATAAAGTAATCTATTCTGTAGAGATTTTCCGACACAGATGAAGTCAGTGAATTCAAGAACGTAAAAATAAGCTTAAGAAAGTGTCCCTGCTAGAGTACTTACTACTATACCTGATTTTTTTTTTTTTAAATCTGAATATGACTAACTGGAAACATAGCCCTGATGTTACCTAGCCATGTTCCAGACAGAAATAAGTATAAGCGAGGGCTCTCTAATGCTGCATCAAAGCTGCCACTTAATATTGCAATGCAAAGTCCATACAACATCAAACAGAGAAAACACAATTCTCCAGTGCTTCAGGTGTTGTATAATTACAAACCAGAAGTGGGTTACCAGGAACAGGCAGCAAGGAACCAAGCCCTTTTTAGACAACCAATCTCATTCCTGGGGGACACCATCAAACCTCTACAAATGTAAGGACCAAATATCTCCACAATTTCCCTCACTGGGACAACCCACCGAACTCATCACAGCCCCCTTCCACCCCAGCTGAGGAAGCCATGCTCCCAGCACAGAGGATCTGATATAATACAGTTCAAATTCAAAGTTAAGATATCAAATCCTAGAAACAAAGTATGTGACATGCTATTTCTGTGCCAAAGCCTGTTTCTTACATTGTGATTAGGTCTCCATGCAAACTGCGGCACTGCTGTAAATAATTGCTGTGACAAACAGGAAAAGTTATTATTCTAATCGCTCCAAAAGAATGAGAAAGACTGTATTTTCATGTTGAAACCCACAGGCTATCTTTTCAACCTACGTTGGTGAAGTTTATACACAGGTATAAGGAAGAGGGAAGTTCGCACCTGAACCACTTTCTCCCAATTCCTCTCCTCCCCCCCAACAGCTCCCTGGACTCTGATTCTATGCAGTTTTTGGAGGACCTGCTTCCGACTTCTTTGGAAGGAGTAAGAGTTATCTGAGATACAGATTATATCCATAGAAATAAAGTGATTCTTACTGAAACTGCTTAAAATGATCTGTTTATTTTTCCTCCTTTAACAAGCACTTACTTTGAAATACACTTGCTGCTTGTAAATATTTAAGTAAACAGGAGACAGTGAATTCTTCCTCTAAAAGTCTGGGGACTACCTCCGCACTAGGGCTCATGAAAGAAATTGCATCAAATACCACTGCACTCTGTTAGGAACATTATTTTACAGAACACACGTAACAGATCCTACTAAAGGCCATAAAATCTTTAGTTGAAGTCTTCCAAGAGAAGTACTCTGTATTAGCAAAAGTATTTTTCATGCTTCCAAGTAAAATATGTCCATATATGTCAAAAGCAAGTCTTTGTCTATAGTGGTAGTTTTCACCTTTTTAGTGAAAATTTAAGAACCTATCATTCTGTCAAAAACAAACAAACCAACCAAAAGCCATAGCTTTTCACATGAAAATAATAAATAGCTGTAGATGTCACAGACCACAAAAAACAATTTTCTGAGCAAATCCAGGTGGACAAGAAATTATGTCCAGCCTCTATACCATAAACAATGCATTTCATATATGAATTGCAAAGCATTTCATAACTATCATAAAAGTCTCTCATTAAACTGTTTGAGTATTATTAGTACAGCTGTAGAGAGGTAGCTAAATACAGATACAGTTTTGGTTTTATTATTTAAATGGGATTACTTTTAGGAACATTTTCATCAGAGACTATGAATTAGGACCACCAAAATATGCACATCTATCAAGATCACAGAAGTCAGAGGAAAAGTCAAAAGCAGGGCTGAGATCTCCAGACTTCAGTCTTGTCCCTGCACTTGCATTCCCCTGTTCTCTTCGGAAGAAGGACTGATGTCAGTCACTTGAGAAATAACCCAATAATCCATACTCTGGAGTCGCTTATGAGTTTTACAGCACAGGAAGTTACTGGGAGTCCAACGTATAAAATAGTTTAAAATTAAAGCAACGGTTTTATGTAAAGTTAATTTCCACTTTCCCATCATAAAATATTTCTCAACAGGAAGAGGAAGAGAAGTGCTGAGATCAGTGTAGTTAAAAAATGTGTAAGCCCCAACAGTTTGAAAGATTTTCCTTTTCTTCTGGATGAACAGTCAGCAATTTCTCCTTCTCCATCTCCTATGTCAGAAAACTAAATCTTCCTCCCTTCATTTTCTGCAAAGATTTGAGTTTTTTTTAATTACCTTTGTCCCTCTAATAAAAAAATCCCTGGGTTAATTAAAAATGGCTTTCATTTATTTTTCTTCCTTTGTTATATATCTCATTGTTTGTTTATCTTCATCGATTTTGCTGAAGGATTTTTCTGTCACTGTAGGTACCCTCAGTGACCACCATGGACCACCTTAACCATGGGGTGGTAAAGAGCTAAGAGGGAATTTCAGTCTACCTGGCGCTGTGCAGAGGGATGACATTGGCAGGCCCCTCGGGGCCAGAGGTAGAGGGTACCCTCAAGTGTTACTGATATGTAAAAAGCTGAGGATCACAGACTTAAAAACAGTGGCGTCTTGAATCCTGAACAGGACCTCTAGTGCCACTAAAGAAGAAGAAAATACATAGAATAAATAAGATTTTCACTTCTAATTGGAAGTTCACTGGCCAAAAATATTTTACGATGGTTGTTTCAGTAGGCTGTCATTTCCTGCACAGCTGTTAGCAGTTAAGTGCCATTTCATGGTAGATAAACCATAACCAGCTGTAGAGTACCAGTAACTTACACAGTAACTATTAAAAGCTGACAACTTGGTGTCTGTTACAAACTGGATTTGCAATCCTTTTCAGATACAAGAAGGAAATTAGAAAGCCAACATTTGGTCCTAATCTTCCTGAAGTTCTCCATGCCCACGAACTCAGCAAGCCAAAAGCACCCTTGTAAGCTGCGCAGACAGTCTAAAATGACTATTTGATTAAGATGATGTTAGGAATGTAAGTGCAGTTTTGAGATTTTCCACTACATAGGAATAGCTCTACCGTTCAAAATACAACTATACATTTATACCAAACGGACCTACATTACAAAAAAAACACCACATCAAGATGATTAACATGAGCAGTTGGTATCTGTATAATTCCAGGTCAAAAATCAAACAAAATTAGAGTATCTGAAAACCAAGAAGGCAGTAATTAAAACCCCATAGGATTTATGATGCCCACCCAACAAATAGACCATTTTTTATAAAAATAAAAGCAGGTATATTGTATCATAACAACCTCAACTCTAACCCACATGGCCTTGTTTTAACTTTATTACCTAACCATTTTCTTTACTAGGAACTTTCTTATATAGGAAACTTTATCACTAGAATATATATTATTTGTTAGTAAAA